TTTCACCTGAAAGGTAGACCCTGAGTCACATACCACCCACAGTTGGCCACCCAGACTGGCTGTCCTCCTGGACCTGGAGAAGATGGTCTGACCTTGGCTGGGGTGTTCCATGTTCAAGAGCAGAAGCAGAGACCACTGACATCAGGGAGTCAGTTGGATTTCAGCAAGTTACTGCCTCTGCAAGAAAGAGAATGACAGCATTTTGGGAGATAGACCTGTGCATTTGCCCCTCTCTGAGTGCTGCTGAATAGACTCAGACCTGTGGCCAAGCGTCCTGGTGCTCAGTCCAGGGCCTCCTTGAATCCTGGAACTCGGTGCAAAGCTGAAGATCCTGGCCTTAGAAACGTGAGAGCGCTCCAAATCGCCAAGCACCTTGACTGGAATCACTAACTATTGTTATATTTTTTAAAAGGCACAAAAACCAAAAGAAATACTTAGTGAGAGAAAAGGTGTAGCAAAAGAATTCTTCCAACAAATTGTTCTACAAGTGGCAAATCACTGAGCTGACAGGTATTACCTGTGTCATTCTGTTGTCCTGCAGGGTAAAGCCATCTCAAGTGTTGGGGTAGAGTCTTGTATTGTAACTCTCCGCTGGTGTTAGAGGCAAAGCCAGGACTATACATGCATTTCATTTTCTGGGCCAAACAGCATTTTGATTAATTAAAATGTGAAAACTTCCAGTAGGAGGGCTGTTTCTATAGGCTGCATTCCCCTGGCTGACTTTTAGGGGAACTGGGTAGGAATCATTGCTCCAGGGAAGCGGCCAATCTAAGGAGCACCTCCAACCCCCCACTGTGTTTGGCAGACACAGGGCTGGGATGCTGGTCTGGTGGGAGAAATACAGAAGTTACCCAGTTAAAAAGAGACCCTTCCTGCACTCTGTTCATGGTAGACATCTTTCTCTAACCTAGAAGACTCTATTTATTTGCAGTGCCCAAAGTAGAACAATGCCCTTTGGATTTCCTGAGAATTGTTTCTGAGGACAGTGCACCCCTTCCTCAAAGGCCTGTGCTCTTTAATTTATTACGGACTATTTAGTGAGATCTAATAGGACACAAGCTGTGCTGGCTTGGTAAAAATTAAAATCAGGATGTTCACGTTTGATGAAAATATATGTAAAATTTTAAGTGGATAATTTCAAAAGTCTAATTTTATGCACAGAATTTAAAATAATGCAAATCATCCCACATTTTAAAAGTCTGTCAAAAGCCACAGAACTTCAAAGCTGGCAGGCTGAGTGGGTTTTCACAGTGTTTCCTGGGTGCCACAGGCCGGCACCGTTTGCACTGGCAGCACCCCGTGGTTCCCGCTCTCATTTCCATCCACTGGGGATTCCACGAATGACTTTGCGGACCACAGCATAGCCATCCCTGGACCACTTGGGCGTGCAGTCTGAACATCGCCCTGAAGATCCTGAGGTTCAGCTTTCCTGGAGCTTGGCCCCATCTAGGCACACTGGCTTTGGAAATATTGTGTGTCCTCGCAGTCACTGTTACAATTTACAGAACCTTTGCATCTTACAAGACTAATGTAATGTGTCACAGGGACTGAACACTCGTACTGTAGCAGGAGCTGTTCTAACCCCAACACCTCACTGAGGCGTAGTATTGTTATCACCCCATTCTCAAGACGGAGACCTTAGTACATAAGAGGTAAGCATCTCGCCCCAAACCACTCAGCAACTATGTGGGGACCAGGATTCACAACAAGCAAGCTGGTGTGGACCCGCCCTGCCTCTGGTGACACAGTCCTGGTGGCAAGCCTGCCCTAGCATTCTTTCAGCTGGACCCGGCGATTTTACCCCCCAACCATAAGCTTTGGGAGAAGTCAGATGTAGTAAACGAAACAAAAAAGACACTGAAACACTGTCCAAAATGCATTTTTTCTTTTGTTACTAGTGGAAAATTAGTCTTGCATTGTGCTCATTTCTCATCATGCAAATCCCTTTCATAGAACCCCAGTCCTGACTGACCTCTAGGAGCTTACAGTGGAGCTCAGAGTAGCACCTACCATTTGAGCAGTTCCAGTGTCAGGACCACATTAAGTCAGCCTTCTGCACATTCCCTTCCCCGCCCCACTGGTTCTGCTGGGGATGTTGTCAACTCCAGGCCCGCCTCAGAGATGGCAGACTGGTTACCCAAACTCACTCCTCGGGGACTCTCTCTCGAACCTAAATCGAGTCTTTCTGAGCAGGAAAACTCAACTTTAAGGCTTCCCAACTTATGACATAAAGTTTTGTACAGTACAATTGATAATAATTGGTCACTGATTTTCGTGTTTAGTATGTAACTGGTACTGGCAAGCATTCCCCAAAACCCGAGGTTGCAGGTAAATAGATACAGAGAACTCGGCACTGGTAGTGGATCGCAGCCCAGCAGGTGGTGAGACCTTTGCCCGCTGCCCTCGACATAGAGGGCCTGTTCCCCACTAAGTTCTCTTCATCCTCTCTTCACCTCTATTTTTCACTCTAGATTTCACCTCTATTCGGAAAGGTCGTTTGCTTTAATAAAGACACAGCTGATAGAATTCAAAAGCCTTAGAAGACACAGAGCCAGCTGGGTGGTATAAAGCTAAGTCCCCAACTTTGGTTGTAACCTGAAGGCCACCTTGCTACTAGCACTGACTGAAGCCCCTGGGCCTCCAAAGCTCAGAACCAGGAGAGGCGGTGGGCTCAGGAACCTCAGTGCGGTTGAGTGCTGGCAACCGCACCTTCGGTTTGTTTCCAAGTGGATGCCTCAGCAGCCAAGGCAATTTGCTTCCAAAATTATGGTGTGGAAAATTTCATGGCTTGGGAGCACAATGGTTTTTTCACATACCTTCAGCACTTATTTGTGACTTATAGGAATCTGATTATCATCACTTGACATTCTGTATCTCTAAAACACAAGATTCATTAATCATGTCTTTTCAGAGTTCTATATATATTTCAGTCCTATATGTAATTGATTTACAGAGGGAGTAGGTCAGAGATACATATGTGATTGTTTTTCTTTTAAGTCCATGTTATTTCTGCAGAAACAACTGATTGATTGATGCAGTGATTCTTTTCCAGAATAAAGCCCAGCTTTGGCTCAGGTCTTAATCCCTAAGAGTACAGAGATTTAACCCTTGGTTTCCCAGTAAACTCCTTGGTGATTCTGCATGGCTGGGACTGCCGACTTGCTCTGCGACCAGTGCCACCCTGGGTTTTCAGGGCTTGTTTTGTACATGCTCCTTGTCCAACCTGACAACTTCATTAAAGGAAATTCACATCTGTAAACATGCTGGCTCTTGAAGATGTGAAGCTTCCCATCAGAACCTGCAGCCTTATTCCGTTGGCTGAACTACACAGAGGGAGATAACCTATTTACATACTAAAAAGGTCAGTGTTGGGCAGTCAGCATTTAGAAACACATTTGCTGCTGCATGTAACTGGAGCATAAGAATTTGGGAGGAGGCCGCAGTTTTGCTGTCTCTCTATTTCCGTGGACAGCAGGCATTGGTAAACATGCAGGACGCCTGTGCCGACCAGCCGGGGCAGGGCGGGTGGGCTCCCTCACAGCTCAGACCCTCTCTGATGACCACCAGGTACCATGCAGAGCACAGGTCAGCCTCACCTGCTAAAAACCGTTAATTAGAGATGGAAATATTTGCATAATAGTTCTTCTGACTCAGGTTAGTAAAACAAATTATCATAATAGACTTTAAAGCATGTGGCAACTGCTTACTTAACCTTCCATTTGCATTAGGAAAGCTAGGCTTTTCCAGAGCTTGAAACATTTCCTTTTGTGGCCTTTCTCTTCAAAATCTTTTAAAATATCAACTTTGTTTTGCTAATGTATATTGAAAATATCTTCAAAAATATTGTATGCCCTGGCTGGCATAGCTCAGTGGATTGAGTGCGGGCCTACGAACCAGAGGATCGAGGTTCGATTCCCAATCAGGGCACATGCCTGGGTTGCAGGCCAGTTCCCAGCAGAGGACGCATGAGAGGCAACCATACATTGATGTTTCTCTCCCACTCTTTCTCCTTCCCTTCCCCTCTCTCAAAAAATAAATAAATAAAATATTTAAAAAATATATATATTGTAAAGGCATGAGTTTTCTCTGACATTGCTATAATTATTTTGCTCCTTACCCATTTGTGCAAAATATAAGGGTACAGAGATCCATGGCTCCACCTAGAATGTTGGGTATAACATAAGAGTGGAGTCACCCTGAAGGTGGAAAACACACTCAGAAAGGCTGGGGAGAGAAGAGTGAGGCAAAAGGAAGTCTTGCTCTTTGGTGATGGCAGCCAGTCTTGGGCAAGCAGCAGCCAGCAGCCATTCGTTACTCTTCATGCCACAGACTCAACTGTGGTACATTCAGGGCTTTTGCTCCAAAAAGAGAGCACCCTTTTAAGAGTGCCTGGGGCAAAGATAAGTTGCAAAGCTGCAGCTTTGTTCCGCAAGTCCTGGTGAGGTCCTCCTGGCTGGCTGGGAGCTACGTACGGCAGCAGCTGCCACCCCAGTTCTCCAGGGACCCCTGTGCTGCATTCCATGTTCAGTGTCCCCCAGGGGACCATGGAAGCCAGATGTGGACCTGGACTCCTTCCTTCTTTGGATACAGGCAAAGTGGCTTCCAGGAAGATAATCATTCTTCGCCTGCGTGCGCATGTCTGCATGTCCACTGCTTAACAGTCACATCAGTGAGGCGCTGTACTTCCTCTGACTCCTGATTAAGAAGAGGGGAGCCAGTGGCAGGGACGAGTTAGCTCTTCGTTGGCATCAAACAGTGTGTCATAGAGATTATGCAAACCTGCTTATTAGCCACAGTCTTCAGGGCCTTATATAACAACAGGTTTTCATGACCGTTTTTTGAAACACAACAGTGGTATTGGCTGTGCTGGGGACTCCTGGCAATGATGCTCTGTGTCTGCACTTCACCTAACCTGACTCTGGACTTCTGTAATGAGAGGCTGACCTAGATGCCACTCACTAATTCGCACGTCTGTGCTTCCCAACCCCTGCCTCTCTCAGATTACGCGGCTGAGCAGACACAGCGGGCACTGCACGAGTCGGTCTTCATGGCATCCTTGTCCACCCACCCTTCCCGGGACCTCCCGCTCGGCAGGGAGCAGCACTGCAAGCTGCTGCCAGGCGTGGCTGACATCCAGGCAGACGAGGTGGCCCGATGGACAGTGGACGAGGTGAGTGGGGCTGCTCTGGGGCCCTGGGGAGGTCGTGCTCGGCTGCCGAGAATTTCTCTTAGGCACTGAATTCGGTGTATCAAAGTTAAGACCCACATTTAAGGGAGAAGATGCACATGATTTTGAGGAAATTCAGAAGGCCCGATGTGTGTTGCCGTCCGCTTCCCAACCGCATCCCAACAACACCTCTGTGCCCCAAAGCCACGGCCCCGAGCTCATTCAGGCAGAGGGGCCAAGCCTCCAGCCCACGCTGCAGGGAGGACTGAGGAGGCCCAAAGGTTCCGGCATCTCAGCCTGTGTCTTGACAGCTCCTGTTCTAAGCGCCACCTTCCCTGGGAGAGCACCCACCCCCAGGGCCCTCTGTGCCCAGAGGGGCTCCCTCCGCTGGCGCCTGCGGGGCCCCGAGGGTCCTGTGTTCTCACAGCTGAGCCGCTCTGTGCCACCATCAGTTCACCTGAAGTCACAGATTTGAAAGGAAATTAGATCACAACATCGTACAAGATGCTGTACCAGGCAAAAAAATGAACTCAGTTTTACTGTAAACACATCTTACAATATTGGTTTTTAATAAGGAGCAGGTCATTCCCATTGCTTATTCTAATGCTATAGAAATGCTTCATATTTAAAAATAACTGTCCTTCGAGGAAGAGCTCTTTGACTGACATTCCTTTCCATAAAGCTATTGTTGTTCATAGTCAGCCCTTAGTTAATTTTTTTTTAAATGAAGGAAAACCCTGGGTTACTCTAAGAACAAGATTAGAGCTGGAGTTAAATTAATCACAAAATGTTCATTGAACACTTACTGCATGCAGTCAGCCAAACTTAATCTCGGTTTAATGAAGCCTTTCTTTCCAGCCTTGCATGAGCAGCAGGTGGTGAAGGCCACCCAAAGGTCAAGGTTTGGCGTGGGCCATGCCCCCTCCTTTCTCCCAGGCCCCTCACAGATTCTGTCTGGGGGGTCCCCTGGCCTGGCATTTCTGCCCAGCGTTTCTCCATGTGCAGCAAAGGAACCGACCCCTCTCTCCCTGCACACCCTGCCTACCCACCCATCCTCCCACCCCTGCGGAAGGGCTCCGCGGCCCTGGTGTCAGCGAGCAGACGTGGACACACCAGGAGCTGGCTGATGTTTGGGAAAGTGACTACATGTGATCCTTCCAGAGCACGCAGAGTCTGGCCCTCTACCCCCGTTTATGAGTCTTTACCAGTTTACAAAGTGTGCATCAGCTTCACGACCAAGCTGATAGGATTACAGTCTATTGCGTCTATATCCCAATCATGTAAGGTTTTGCCCTTGAGACAACACGAACATAAAGGGGATTTCAACTGAGAACACACTGCCAAGTTCCTCGTTCCTGCCTTTCAAGCTGTTCATCTGAGTTTTACCTTTTTTAAAGACTGGGAGTGGCTGTGCTCCTGGCCCCTCGCACTGTCCCTGTCCTGCTCGGAAAGATGTCCTGGGAGGGCCACCACCTGGATCCAGCCCTTTGTGTACATACAGAGCAAGCACATCCTGAGAATCAGTGAATGCGGTGAGAAGGGAGGGGTCCGGCTGTGTCGCCACCCAACTTACAGCGGTCCCTGGCTCCCCAACAATGTCCTTGGCGTGGGCCCCGCATGGGGCCCACCTGTCCTCACCTGCACTTCCAGTCTGCCTTCCGCCCACCTCACCTGGTCCTCCCTCGCTGGCCCACAGAATCTCGCTCCTCCCCAGCCCCACACATTGTTCTCTTACTCACACAGGTGCTGCCACTGCCCCCGGCAGCCGTCTGCTCTGCTCACCTCGGCAGAAGCCTCTGGGCTGGGTCACACCTCCTCTCGGTGCCCCCATTTCATCCGTGTCTTCTCTTACTGCCCCTGCACACACTTGTCTGACCCCTGACCAGACGAGAAGAGACCTTAATCACTCACTGGGCGCGCGTCTTGAGAACCTCTTGCTATACCTGGCACTTAGTAAATAACTCAGTGAATGTACATTGAATGAATTTTGAATGACAGGGCATCAAGAGATGGATTTTTGAAACCAAAATGGGACATATCTAAGCAGAAGAATGAAAGGAAACCCTTCCAGTCCCCATTCCAAAAAGAAGGGAACAACAGGAGGCTGCATGGAGACGCGTGGCATGTGCAGGGGTGGCCACCACACAGCGCATCTTTTACTAACACTGATGATGACAGCAAACAGTATTAGTATAATGGTAAAAAAACAAGTAGTCGTTTTGCCCATTGTACAGATTGGGAAATCGAGGCACCAGAGACTAGGTAACTTCTTAAGGTCGTATAGTGACCGCCAGGTCCAGAGCGGATGTGTTACCCTCCACGCATGCACGCTGCAGACCTGGGTCCAGAGAACGGTGACCTGGGGCGGGGCCGGGGGGCAGGGCTTGGGGCCAGGCCCTGGGCCTGCGTGTTAGTCACTGGGCGCTCTGAGCTGCTGCAGGTTCTGATGCAGAGTCACTTTGTAAAGATGGTGCCTCAGGAAGATGAGAACGGCAAAGATCTGCAGAAAGAGTAAGAATGAGAAGAGGCCGCCCTGGCTGGTGTAGCTCAGTGGATTGAGCGTGGGCCTACGAACCACAGGATCACGGTTCGATTCCCAGTCAGGGCACATGCCTGGGTTGCAGGCCAGTTCCCAGTGGGGAACACATGAGGGGCAACCACACATTGATGTTTCTCTCCTTCTCTCCTTCCCTTCCCCTCTAAACATAAATAAGTAAAAAATCTTAAAAAAAAAAAAAAAAAGAATGAGAAGAGGCCAAGGAAAGGGAGCCAGCCAGCAGTCGCCGCCACGTTTCTGGTGTGGGATGATCGGACCTGGACTGGACACAGCCATGAGGAAAACCAGCCAAAGCCGCAGACTTGGGAAGTCCAAGTCACCACCACAGGGAAATAGATCAGATGCCGGGATGATGAGATGAGCCACATGCGGTTCCCTGCAGAGTCTCAGTACTACCCCATTAGCATTTAATTAGAATAATCGTGTGTGAGAGCACAAGGCCCTCGAGTTCATCTGAAAGACTGGGAAAACAGTAGTACCATTGAAAGAAATGAAACTTTGGGGAGAGGGCCAGTTTGGAGCAGGAGGGTAAGGTGATGAATTTGACATGGGACCATGTGAGCTGGAGACCCCCGGGGGTCACACCAATGGGCAGGAAACCTCTCTTCCAGGGGCAGAGACATGGGCCGATAGCAGTGCTCACCCAGGGGGTCACTGTCCAGAGAGGGCTGCAAGGACAGAGGTCAGTGGGACCATGTCAGGACACGCAGGGGAAGTGTCTGGAAAGGGGCACTCTGAGGAGAAGTGGTGGGGTCAAGGAAGACGAGTGTGGCGGGGAGCAGCTGTGGGTGCTCAGTGCGACAGGGCGGACACTGGGCTGCAGCTGGGGCTCCCGGCTGGGGCTGTGGAGTTGGAAACACTCTGTACAACATGTGGACTTTCTCCTGAAGAAGAGGGCCAAAAATAATAAAAGTTTTATTAACTTTTTGAAGTTGGGGGGCCATCATCCAAGAAGAACAGGAACAACTGTTTCAGGAACATGAAGCAGCGAGCAGGAAATTTGCGGGGGCCTCTCATCTAACAAGTTGCAAGTCCAGCACTGCAGGAGAGTGAGAGATTAGAGGCTGGTTAACGGAATGTAGGTGGACTGAGGGCAAGTCTCGCTGGGTTAGAAAAGGTCTCAAAAGGAAGAGACTCGCCACGGGGAAGGCTGGAGATGCCGTCAGGGATGAGGAGGGCGCTGAGATTGCCATTCCTGGGCTCTCGTAACGGGGCACGTGGGACCCCGGCCTGTATCTCTGGGAGAGCCCTTAGAGATTTTCTAGGTTAAAAATAAAGCGACTGTCGGACAGCCTGTCTTCACAAAGCACCCCTGCGCCTGGTGCTTCCTTCACCGCGGCCTGCCTCGGGGATGTGCTCCGGAGAACGCTGTTTGGGCGGTTTTCTAGCTTATGTATCTTAGTCTCAGTATCTACCTAATGAGAGGTTCTCGAGGGAATGGACCACATCCTAAATTTCCTTCACTATCCTCACCCTCTACAGCGCATTTCCTGGCAACAAACCAGGTTCTCCGGAGGGATCTTTGGTGGGTTGATAGTGTGGGCTTTGTGATGGTCCCATGTGTATCTCTGAAAAACAAAGGAGCCCTCAAAGGGAATTCACTTAGGGGGCATTGCAGAGAGTCCCAGCGACTGGTTTACGACTGCTCCATGCACCGTGTTAAACATGGCACGCAGGTAGCGGGGGTCTGCAGAGGCAGTCAGGGGCCAGTGGGCACATTTTGAGGAGAATTTGTGGTGCTTTGTTCCTATCGGAGAGGGACTCCAGTGGACGGGCACAGGGCCTGTTGAAAATGGAGGTGTGTGTCCTCGTGTTAAGGTCCAGTCAGTGGGACTTAAGGTGGGTGGCTGGCTGTGACAGGAGACAGAGCAGCGTAAGGACTCTCCTTTTGTCAGCCCTCCCAGCCGGGGAGGAGACCTCCACTGTGCACTGTGTCCCCTACGAAGGGAAGCCGGCCCAGGCAGGGTCTCCTGACATTTTCCAGAGCACGGGAGCTGGCTTTTAATTCCTCTGTCGTGTGGCTGTTTCTACTGGAGCCGTGCTTATCAGAGCACAGATGGACTTCAAAGTCGATTTAGCAGTTCTAAAAGGAAAGACAGGACTACATGAAAGTGCATAATTGTAGGAAAGGTTATTGCTTTGTGAAACCTTTATTAGAAGTGGGTGGGAGTGTGCACAGACTCAAGCATGGTCATGTGAAGTGTATTTCTTACTCTGGGTCATGGGCATATTCTGTAGAACAGCATAGGTGTTTAAGAGTAGGGACTAAGATATCTTTATATCTTTGTATATTTTTGTAGCAAAGTATCTTGCTCAGAACAGGTGTCTGACAATTGAATGACTGAGTGAGTGAGTGAGGAGTTAATTTTATGCGGGACCCTCCTGCCAGGTGTCCGGGGGGTCGGGAGGGCTGGACGTGACATGCTGCATGCACATTACCACCAGG